TTTTTTTCGACTGCAGAATTGGATACGGACTGCCGCTATCTCGAGGGACCAGTTGTGAGCAGCGGGTGATTTAATTACACTGTGGGAGGCCTGGACAGTGTTGATCTATCCCCGAGCTTAACTACCATAGTTCAGATGCCAGAGTAGGCTAAAACTGGTAGAGATTGGTAAAGATACAGGCGAATACAAATTGATAGTAGTTTCATCAGACTTTAGACTTCGGTATTCGCTGAAGGCCAAGCGACGTATTTCGCCGATTTTTCTGTTAATGTATGGCACAACTGCAAGGGCTCTTGGCTGGTTTCCTTGTTGAGAACAAATATTTTAGAAACTCCCACGAATAGTGCGAATAATTAGTGATATGGAAAGTGGACAGTACGCACTTAGTTAACAGTTTTCGATAGTCTTTCACAGTCGACAGTTCGGCCCTCGATTTCGGCAATGTGACGTCAACCCGGCATTCCTACGTGGCTGAAACATCAAAGGATTACGCTCTGGGATAATCAATATTACAACCCCGCCTAATTGAGATTATGCTTGATGAAGATTTAGCGAGCTACACCGTCTACTGTCGGCGTTGATTGCTTATCGTTTGTCGGGTCACCACCACGCATATTTCCGCCCCTACATGTGATCACGGCCTTCGCTTCGTTGGCACTGCGGGACGCATGAGGGACAGCCTTAGGTCAACAGACGGCTGCCATCTCGACTGGCGTAAAGTACAAAGTATGCATATTATGTCCCCCCCTCCCTCTCTCCTACCGCATCACAGTTCCACGGCGTGACAGATGGAACCACCTGCTGTGTGTCGCGGTGATGGACACTTGGTAGGAACGCCTACTTGTCCCTCTACGCATTTTTCTTCCCAAATTAACACTTACTCCCACCACTTGGATCTCAGCAGTTTTCGCATAAACATCTAGTTCTGTTTTTTTTTCTTTATTCTTCCCCCTTCTCTTGTTCGCCGCTCTTTATATCTCACTCTTGCTCTTCAACTTTATCTCCCTTCTTCATTTTTTGCAATTACTGCTGTGCGAAATGCCAGCTGAAGTAAGTATTAACTCGATGCGAACTAATTATCCAAAAAGGACATGTGTTATTAATTATCGTACAGCATGCTCGCATGATTACGGCAAAAATGTCGGCTTTTGAAGGAGATTCCTTCTCGCCGCCGGCAAGAATGCACTGCGGAAAAATGACTGTCTGAGTAGTGTGTATTGGTCTAAATACTTTTCCATGCCTTCGTTAACTTAAATCTTTCTTGTAGATAACGTGTGCGGAGGTGTTCTTTATTGCACTTATTTAGTAGAAAATTGCATCTTCCTTGAATACTATACTTGAAAGGTGGCCTCTTTCGGTAAAAAAAAA